ATAATAGCATTAAACGTAAAATATCATAATTAAACAGTGTACACACTGTATATCGTATAAATCATTTAAAATTAAACTACAACAGTGTTGCTAGATCGATTTTCCGCTATTTAATTTGCATATCGTATATATGTTATATTTGTTAACGCTAGAACGACACCGATCGATACACTGCTGGCCGCTTGTAGTTTAGCGTTCACCTGAACAAACGGTTTACATATTCATCAATGCTTGGGTCAACATTTGTCGCACGGCAAAGAAATTTCGCATTTAAATGACCTTGCCTCGCGGCAAGTCGAACTCGGCATGGCGGCTTCTTGTCCGCCGTGAAAATGTGACGTTTCCTACGTGTATCGAGATACATCGCGATTTATGTGTCCTGAACTTGACTCGTTTTCAAAACCGGTTTCGCGTTCCATCTCGCTCGGTCGTGGATTATTCAATCGATAACTGTTTCTGAATTTATACATATACTCACTGAACTTTTAGCGACACTTTAAATGTAATTTATCGTTTAACGCTTAACATGGGAAAAAGTTGACATTAATTGGCTAAAAATATGTAATATTACCAAATATTTCAACATGGATTTAACATAATTGCTATAAGAATATTGCAACAAGTATTTTCTGTCAACTATAACATCCATTAAAATGTTAATTTTTTAAAAATATAGTTAATAATTCTACGAATATATGTATATAAGGTAACAATGTGCCTCCAGGGAAATTACGAAAATAGTTAAATATGATAAATAATAGTCGTTAGTGAGGGTATCCGTTCTTAAGTGAAATTATTCATTGTGCAAAAATAGAGCGTGCCCTGCCAGCTAAGAAACGGCAGCACCGAAACATGAGCTGATGCGCTCTCCGTGGCTGTAGATGGTGGAGACGTGGAGATATAGAACGAGAGAGACAAATAGAAGGAGACGGTGAAACCCACTAAATCAATACTCTGCCATCGCTCCAACTCTGGCTCATCCCCTCGCCTACCCCCTTAGCCCACCCCCGAGTCGTCAGCCCGCTTCTCTCCCGGCATCCTCCTTCACCAGCGTTTCTCGGTTCCGTTCGTTCGTACGCCACCCTTCGTTCCACCCCCGTCACGCTCTCGAAGCGAAACTTCTCTGGCTCCGCTTCCATGGGCTACTCCCGCAGAGAGTTTCCTCTACCGTAGGGCTGAATTCTCCCTTATGCGTCAGTATAATCTACCCGATGCTCACGAGATGTCGGTGACGCGTGAAAAACGTATATTCCATATACGTTGCACATACTCTCATTTACAGCTATTTCGTTTATTTTCATTCATTTTCGTCCGCTGAGGACTTACAATAATACCGAACAAGATTTTTATTTTTCGGCATTTTTGAACTAACATATTTTAATTTGCGATAAATAACAATAATTATGCTGATTTCTAAAAAACAACAAAGAACATTAGACATTCTTTATCTCCAGAATTTATATATTATTTTTTTGTACGAGTTATATATTTTTTATGTTGTGCGAAGATGAAGTAAAACGTTTTGAAAAAACGTCTTTATATGTATTGATCTTTAAAATATTTTACTGCTCCATAATAATTTAGACATAATATTCAAATAAAGTATGTGTATTCGGTTTTAAACTTCGTAATTTTAAAACACAATTCTCATAAAATATTTTAGAAGCGATTGTCGACGAGCTTCATTCTGCACGGATAACGGAAAAGCGATATCGCTACCGTTGGCACGTAGACTGCAGATCCAAAAAGATACTTGCATGGAATTTTAATTTAAGACTACTTGAAAACGATGAGAACTCGAACAATTTTATATTTTTTTATGTTTTGTTGGTGATAAAATATTTTGTTTTAAAACTGCAATCTTTTTCAAATTATATCGAAATCTTACATTATAATTAATAATCATTCACAAAATAGAGCACAATGTTTTTCGTTATACAATGATACAATTTTTCTTCATATTTTTTCTTCGTATTTTCAACAAAATATATGAGCAATTTTTAAGATACTTTTTTTAAGAGCTTTTTTTTAGAATGTATAAGTCTTCTGCTCTCCGTTTTTTCAAATATTTAATTATGCGAAATAAGAATTTTACTCTATTTTGGGTAAGAATGTAGAAAAAAACATTAATGAACAATTGATTGATCGGATGATACAACGAGATGGCAATCGAAACTTCAATTCTTCAATTATCACGAAGCTCTGTTTATTTCACGCGGACATTACGACGCGCTTCATCAACAAACTGGGTCACGTAGTTCTGGTGGCACACACTCGCGCGACCATCCCCGAAGCATTTGCAAACGAATGCTGAGCATATCTACGATCGTGAGATCGTACAACTGACTGCGTGGCCTATGAAAGAAGTAGAAGGAGGGAGAGATTACTGATTGTGAGAAGGGGCCCGTGCATCCGCGTATGGGCGTCTGCGTGTGTGCGACTGCCCAAGACGAGGGTACGGTAGTAGTCCCAATGCGTCTGCAATCGAGAGCTAACTCGACAAATAAACGGTTGGCTGCTTCTTACTGCTGACGATATCGTCTCCGCTATACTGATGGCGACTTCATCATATATCCCGACTTACAACGTTGAAAACATACAGCAAACTTTGTCGTAAATTTGTATTGAATATTATTCTGATTTGGTGATATTATTAGACGAATTTTTGAAGAATCTCTCATTACCTTCTGAAAATATTATAATTCTTAACGAAATTCTTAAATGTCCGCCTTTGAAGCAAATTTGTCGCGTGTATAATATAAATGGATGTTCAATAAGTAACTCTCAAGATCTCGATTAATAACCAAGAAAATCCTGCTTTACTTGCTGCTTTTAAAAAGAATATCAAGTAACAAAAAGTCCAATTACACGGCCGGCAACTCCTGCTTTGTTTCACGGCCGCTGCCCGTTGGTTTATGCCTTCCCTCTCTTTATCTACTTTGCTGCCGTTCTTTAAATTTCTCTCCTTGTTTTTCTTTTCTTTCCTACCGACGTGCGAACTTTTGCTGCCTTGGTAGCTGCCTAGTTTGTGATTTCTCGATGCTACCTCCCTACGCTCTCAGCACTCTCTACAACTTAGTGTCTCGTTAATTTCTTGCGATCCTCAAGACGATTACCGCACTTGTCCGAAAATTTAGCGCTTTCGATGTCCCTTAAATCTCTCGCAGTGAGTTAAACTTGCAATAGCAACTCAGCGTTTCGAAAATACGCTTTCGTACATACATCATAGATTCGCGTTCTTTTCTTATATACAGTCTTTACTTGAGAATGTGATTTTGGAACAAGAAATTTAGCATATATAATTATTCACAAGCTATAATAAATTTTAGTACTGTATAGACACCAATAAAACATTTCTTTGTCAGCAGTCCATTTAAATCCACGATTATACAAATTGTGATGACGACGTAAGATTTAAAACTTATTAATAAGTGTGATTAATGCCGTTATAAATAACGAGTATGCTAATAATATATGATATTTCAACGGAACGAAACAAAAACCTACAATTAATATTTATAACGTAACGTACTATTTGTGTGCGGACTTTATATTTCGTATGTTTCACCGCAGCGCGCAATAGCTGTTCAGACTGCGTAACTCACCAATTACTATCCGTAATAAGTCATAATTGAATAATCAGATTCGTCAGATTTCAGTCGGATTTATTGTTCTTATTGACAAACTACCCCCTCATGTCTTTATGATCAGTACAAAAATATATTATTCTTAGAGTATCAATTTGAAGTTTTGGAAGATGTAAAAGATTTTTATGTAAAGTTCCGCGTTTTGACAATAATAAATAAATATTGATACGTATTGATTAATATTGATAGATTAAGATTGATAGATTAATATTGATAGATTACATGAGCACAATCGAACGTATATGTTTCGCTGTCATATATTTACGACGTATCATCCTCTCGAGAAGGTATTTGAGCGTTCTATCCGAGTTACGCGATTCGATGCTGGTAGTCGTCTGATAGGATTACGACTACCGTTGAAAGATTGACGGTCGAATCCGTCAGCAGCTTTCTACAGCACGGACGAACTCGGGATTTTCTGCAATTTTCTCCGCGGCCTTCGGCGCTGTAGGCCGTGCACGTTCCGAGGCTCGAAAGCTCGGCATTCAATTCGAATCGCGTACGCTTGCGGTTGATGAAAGCTTGAATGAGTGGCACGTGGATGCGATGCGCGCGAGCACGGCGGTTTCGTTAGCGTCAGCAATGCTATTTTGAGCATTTCTGGGGATTAAAATTAGTTGAACGAAGAAATAGATTCGTGATAGATACAGTTCTTGGCTCTCCCTCAACTGAATACATGCACAATAAATTAAATGATTAAACGTAATTCAATACCTTGACGAAAACAACTATCGTATATCATCATTTAATCTGAAGACAGAAGACGAAATATATTATGTCCCAATTTTAATACGCATTGGTTGTCATCGTCGCTATACCATTAATTTATCTTAAGTCTACTGTCACGATTCTAATTTAGGACACGACTTGTCACTCGTTCCAAAACGTAAAAATATACAGGCATTTAAAACTTTTGAATTGATTTAGCATTTAATTTCGATATTATATTTCAAAATCACATCTAATTGGAATTGCGTAACTTAACAAGCAACGAAGAACGCCAATCAGACGCAATCTGCTATCCTTGTTGACGCAGAGAGAAACGGCGCGGCCGGCGTGACAGTATATATGGTAGACGCCTCAAGAGTGTCCCGCGGTGCCCCTCGAGCCTCCCCGTGTCCCAAAGACGGGCGCAGGGGAGAAGGGACTCTCGTGGTGCTGTACACAACGCAACCACCACCGATGCTGGATCACGGGGGCGTCAAGAGAAGCGAGGGCAGGAGGCTGTAGACCAAGGGGGATACGGGTGTATCGGGGGAGTGAAGCTTAACGCATGTGCACAGGGCGCTTCGCGTCGCGGCGCTCCGGTCCCGCCGGTCGGAGGCTGCGAAACCGAGCGGGCGGAATTCGCGGATCAGAGTCGTCGCATCTCTCGCTTAAGATATACATCACCGCGGCACCGTCCGCGGTTTTCCATGGGTATCGGCGAGCCGAGAGCCGTCCCGACGCTGGCCGACACGCACCAAGCCCCGGTAAGGACTGTCAATCGTGGACGGGATGCCGCGCTCGGAGTACGCTCGGTGACGAATGATATCGTCCGAAATTACGGTCTTTCGTGCAACTCGACACACGTGCGGTACGCCTTGAAGTGCGACAACCAGTACGGAGGACCTGCGGTGGCGAGGCAACTCAACTCCGAATCGGCACAACGATCAAGTTCCAGTTAACAGATCCTGAAGGATCGACGTTTATTTTCTTGGTACTCTCCTTGAGAAAACTTCCGGGATCATTGTGCTTCAGCGCAAGCTAAAGCGATATATTAACGAGACCATCGAATGACTAAAGGGAAGTGTAATATCGTGTGGAGCTCCTCGCAGATTGAAACATTCTCGTTTGTATTGACGATCCATACTGCTTCATCATTGATTTCCGCGTTGTATTGTAAACAATAATAAGAAGCTGAGGAAATTTAAGTTGGAAAACGAAGCTTGACCTCGTGCTAGTATCAAAGAAGCGTTCCAGAACTACGTTTTGCATTGTAGATCCTGAACGTCGTAAATCTTACAGGTCAATGTTATATTGCAGCTTATTGAGTACAGTGCGCTGTTCATCGACCTCGCGTGAGCATTACTCTCGTTATGTCTTAAAGAAGCTTAACCAGTAACCCAAGCTTTTGTCAGCAATTTCATCCGAGTAAAGGAGCAACGTGGACGAGGATAATTTTGAATGACCTGATCCGTCTTATGTTGCGCTAAATCGACTGCTCGCTTATTTTTTATCGTTGTTCATCGGCAAGCAGCTTTGTCAGCTAACAAACTATTGCGATTTAGCAATATCTTCTCAAGACAATCTGAAACGATAAGGACTCGAAGCAGTATCATTCGGATCAATCTGGAGTACCGAGTACTGTAAGCGTTCAAAGTATTTTGTGCGATCTCTTCCAGTTCGTAGGATTGTGTGCAAAGGTATCGCGGAGGCAAAGTGAGGAAAGGGTGATGGTGAATGGACTCACATGGTTACTCTATCCAATAGACAGTGAGTCTGCTCGAAGGACACATGGTTCGTCGACGGTGTTGGGTTTTTCTGATCCCACGCAGTTTCCCGTCGTACCTGGCTCGGTGACTGTTGGCGAATCTGTTCGCTCTTCGTGGACAAAGACTTCCGAGAAGGTGGTGTGTGAAGGGAAGTACCAGCCACGACGGGGCCCAGCGCCGGGGCGGAGACAAGGCCCCCGGTGCAGGGAAGAAGCGAGGCAGGGGAAGAAGTCGAGTTTAGCGTAGCAGCAACGGCCCTGAAACTACAGGGGAGAACAACTACCCCCTTGAACAGGGGGGAAACTAGAAGGCGACCTCGTCGACGGAGGCGACGGAAAAAGAAGCGACGGAGGTGAGCGGATAGTCAAATGGCTTTAACTACATCTTGAATCGTTGTTAAACATTAACGATGGATACGCTCCATCGCAGGAAACGATTTTATTCAAGTATGAATCGTAGTATGAATTAAATTTAAATGAAATTTAATAAATAGAGGGTGCAATTTATAATCGTGTTCTATTAGAGAACACATATGATATTTGAGGTATAATAATTCGGTATAATTCGACAATTTAAAATCGTTTGAATACAAATGATTTAGTTTATTACTCTCAAGAAGCATTAATTTCCTATAAAATGTGCGTTTGATAAGTGATAGAATTATGATAAATCGCAAAACGTACGAGAAATAATGGCATTTCAATTAACGTCGAATCATGGTATGTAAAATGCTTCGAGCGTCACATTACAAAACTCATAACCGTCGATCATTGATTCTGCCACAACTCGTTATTCACTTTTCGCTTATTCATCAAAATTTATGTGACTATAAAGCACGTGAATGAACAACGAAGTAATACCTATCGCAATTTTCTCGTAAAATTTCGGCTTTCCTTTCACCTCTAATCATTTAATTATTTTGTATTAGATCAGATAGAAAAGAAAATACTATATCTTTTTAGGACATGTAATCGTTATGTATATATTGATAAGTATATTACTCTGATTCTGATTTTAAAATTACGGTTTGTAAAGAAAGAGGAAGAAAGAGATATATCTCAATTATATAGAAATATCCAATATTATGAAATATTCTAGTATTTGCGTAATTTTCATTATAATACTTATTAAAACGAAAATACTCTTGTCGGTAACAACTGTTTTTTATACATTACGTCAAGTAAAATGTAGTAAAGCAATTTGTAAACATGGTTGTTCAGCGTAGTCGAAGATTAGGTTTTTAGCAAGATTAATGAGGCGAAATTACGCTTTCTGCGAAAGTTCTTATCAAGTCACGCATGAAGCGTGGAATATATCCGCACCGCGTGCTTGAAACGTTTGGCGATTCGCTAACCACTCTTAATTGTAATTGATGATACAGTAGATTTCAAGGCGGCTTGTGCGGTTGATGCAAAAAACACAGATTCCAATATTAACTGCAATTTATCCAGCTTCTTATAACGGCTCGGCTGCCGGTGGTCCTTTAACCATTTAGTCCTGGCGTTCTACAATGCGCAGCAATTCCGTTTTTCTTCTGGTACGTCAACAAATTTTATCGACGTGCCGATCAAATACTTTCAAGACGTAGTACGTGAGAAATTTCTTAAAAAAGGTCTAGGATATTTTCTTTCATCTTTTAATCGGCCTAAACAACAAGAAGACTTACATGACAGCTTTTTAATACTATTACGTCGATATGTTATAATTTATTAGCTTTACTTTACTTTTTAGGTGCTCACAGGTACAAATTGTTTTAAAGTTACCAATTTTCCTATACATTTATATTAATAATTTCTATCGAAATTATTTACTTTTTATGACGAAATATATATTGTAGTACAATCCATTGATATGAATAACGCATTATACTCCGAAAATTATGAAAAAACTACTGATTTTAAGAATTTATTTAAGACATAAAACACCTATGTTTGTTTCATTGGAAGTCGCATAAATATTAATATAATTGTAATATATAAATTTAATTGAATTCTTATTTCCACACAGCCGGCCATTGACCGGGGAAAAAAATAACATCAACAATAACTAATATACGATATTAATGCGTTTTTCTCTGTATCTTCAACTGCTGACATTGCGACATTTTTCTCACTATGTTATTTTTTCCGCCGAAACATCGGCGTGAAAAAAGGGCTTGGGGTACGACGTCGATAGAATTCTTATCCCTAAAAGCAACGACGCTGGTTGGCCGTGGGTCCCCCTCGCTCGTATTACGTCCCTTCCGTTCACGACCGAAGGGAGGAGGCAGAGGCAGCCAGTACAGGGGCAGGCAGGGGGATCGTCGAGGCAGGAAATGAAGGGAGTAGTCTGGGGTGATAGGAAAATTTGATGGAGGGTGGCAGAGTGACAGGAGGAAGGGGGGGAGAAGGGGATGGGGAAGAGGAGCGGAGGGCTATCAATGACGCGTTAGAGCACGTCACGCTGCGCAATGCATCTGCCGCCATATGCCGTCATATATATTATCCTGGCGATACGTCAATTCGGCCGCTGATCATTATACTGATTACCGCAGCACGCAAACTACTCCGCATGTGTGGCCGTTCTCATGAGTCTGTTATTAATAAGCACGGTTTAACTTTCGATATCGGGACATCGACGGGACGGTCGGGTGAGACGAGCCACTTGTATTCAGATAACTTCTGTGCAACGTGTTGAGTGTTGAGCAATTATCATCAATGATCAGATTAAGACGTAAATAAGTTTCTATCTTCCTGGAAATAAATTAGCTAGTCGAATAGCGACTAGATAATTTATGTTAGGATAAAAAAAGATATGTGTAATATTTCAAAGAAACACGCAAAACAATGCGAAATATGCACAGGAAGATCCATAGAAGGATATAAAAAGAAATTACAAAAGGAAAAGGAAGAGACAAGTACTGAAAAGAAAAAGATTCGCTCAGATGAATACCAGCCTAAGTCATAAATTTTGATATTATATACGATGTCTCGGTTAGTTAAGAAAAAGAAAGAGAGAAAAGAGGAATAGCTCGCAACGTTGACGCAACCAACAATGCTTTCACGAGATTTTAACTTTCTTTTTTCGGTCCACAATGACGCAAAGTTTTCCCGATTTCCTTCGGACAAGCAGGAATACAAAGGACGAAGTTAATACGGAGAGAGAACAAGCTTCCACCTATCCCTTGACCTCGCTTCTCTTCCCATTTCACTTCCGTGCTATTGCGTTCCAAAATCTCGTATATAAATCCGTCCGTTATTAAATAACAAAACAATTAGTAAAAAATGTTGGATTGGCACCCCATATATTCAGAACAGGGATAATTAATAAAAAAAATGTACACTAGTTACATAAGATTACGTACTGGTGAATGTTTTATCTAATATAATAAATATATAATTTTATTAGCTAATATTATCTTACATTATCTGTTTTCTCTCTTTAGCATTATTTATGCATAAATTAAAATGTTACTTTTTTAACGTTTTGTTTTGATCAGAGAGAGATAGAATTGATATTTATTTTATATTTTATATTTATTTTAGTTGCTTGAATGTTTTGCAAAAGAATATTGTAAAATAGTTACTTTTGGAGAAATAATTTATATGAAAAGTATTATTATATGACTCCTAGAGAAATAAATTTTTGTTAAAAAATTTTATGTATGTATACGTATGTACATATATGTATTTTATTTTTTTACAATTTATAGTATCGAATTTTTACAATTTGCTAAAAAATGAAGAGAAGAAATTAGATGTAATTGAGAAGATAAAAGCTACAGAAATTGATTTCTAATAATCGAGAAATATTATCAACTTTTTGAAGCAAATATTTGATTTCATGTTCAAAAACTGCCCGGTTATAACGGGTTTGCGGGTCCAAAGTACATTTTTATTCTGGGATAGAGAGTGAGGCGTATAACGCAGCAGACATCCCTTGTTATTTCTCCTATTTTCCGTTGCGATAAATCACGAATGCCGACGGACGGACTAAGGAAGTAGGGCCAACAGAGAGAGAGGGGGATCTCGTTGCCGGACGCAAAACCAAAACCATAGCAGCGGAGGATGTCAACATTCCCGGCAATTTATAGAATGCAACATTTTCAACCAAAAAATTATCGCTTATTTTTTTAAAACAAATTCGATATCTCGGATATAAATTCGGACGAAAAAACTAATCAAGTTGTCAGTTCACTGGTCTATTATTATAAACGTCTATATTAAATGCGATTTATGAAACAATTTTCCAGCAAATTTTGATCGTTCCAAGCAAGTGTGCGCGAATAGTTATGTGATCGATTTCGTCGCAACTCGGTCGCTATTCGCCGTAGTGCAATTAGTGCACCATACATCACGCGGATAACAAGACACGGCGCCCCGAAGGCGTCGCGTGGAACGCGCGGAAAAAAAGAGGAGACAGGGGGAACAAAAGGGGGGGACGACATACGGGGGCGAGATGGTAGCGACGTGCCGCTCATCGTCTCGAACGACGTTCTTCACGAACAACTCCTAACTTTTTCTTGAGAAAGGAACGGGGGGGCGGGAGGAGAGAAACGGAGGATAAAGTCTCCCCTCATATCCTTGCTTCCGTCGCTTCATCTCCTTTCTCGATTTCTCTACTCTAGTTTCTTCTCGGATGCGCCGTTGTTGCCAGAAAACCCGCACGCCATTCATCTTGCGACATCAGACGAAAATAACACGAATTTAAGAAGCTCACGCTCGTAAACAATAAAGGGGATGTGCGCTCCCGTTACATAAGAGCACGTCTGGAATGAAGAAACTATCTATGTTAGGAAGTGTTATTTCTCTATTCCAGCGAAACTCAATTAGTTCTCAAACTCAGTTATTAGTATTATCCGTCATCGTAGAGCAGTAGAAATATTGAAGATATATTTGCTGCTAGTTAACAACACATTCGTAATTAGTTTCCTTATTTAAGACAGTAATGTGAATGATAATTGCGCGCGACATGTGATTTTAATCAATAGTGCTAACTTCAAGTAACTTTACAATTAACGCTCTAATAATTTTGAGTGAAACATGTTTTTGCACTTGTACAATGTAGCAATAAATTAAATTAAAGAAACATAAAAATGAACAAAAATAACTTTCTATCACATTTTTTCAATTTTTTTCACAATGACAGAATCATTATCATTAAAAACGCTATCGCTGTATAAAATGAATTGAAATGCTCAATTTTATTGTATCATATCATTGAGAGATTAAGATATACAAATCGTCTGAACGTAAAATTGACAATTTATGATATTAAATATTTTATTATTTGGCGCTTTATCATATAAACCAATTATTACATTCATAAATGGGAACAAGTGCCTTTTCTATTACATTAAAGAAAAACTAAGAG